CAATATTAATATTTATAAGGTCCTAGGTAGATTCTATAGGCTAGCTGCATGTAACTATTTAAATTTTCTTACAATTCAATGAAAAATTCTGTTCCTCAGCTGCTCTAGCCACTTTCAAGTGCTCAGTAGCCACATGTAGCTAATAATGGCTGTTGCTAGAGTATGTTATTGAGTGGGTTTCAAAATACTTCCCTATTACACCGTCTCACAATCTTCTTTCATTTTTGTGACCTTCCGTTGCCAAAGGGTGCTTTTTATGTACTGAGTAAATCAAATAACGCCACGCGACTTTTAATATTTACTAAAACATTTAATATTATTAAGAAGCAATGTTCCCAGAATATTTTGCTTCCGAACCTCTTTTACTATGGCCGCTTTTAGGGGCATGTGTTCTTCAGATTAACGGCTGACAGGAAAAGATACATCTGGCAAGGCAAGTAGGCAGGGAGCTCATGAGACTAGAGCAACACCTTGGCAGAAGGAGAGAGATTCCTGCCACAGTCATTACTTGTGCCTACAGGAAAAAAATCTCATTTACTGCGTTCTGCTGTCAATCATCGGAAAGAGGGCCGATACCGCTTCCTTGGGCTAAGCGTGGCGAAAGTGCTCTATCCCCCTGGAACCCTGCCGCCGCTTCTCCAGGACGCCCAAGCCCTCTCCCGCCGGTGCCCTCGCCCTCCTCGCACCCAGCCAGCTCGGCCGCCGCTGCCTCGAGCGCGTCCAGCAGCAGGAACGTGTCCTCCGCGGGCTCGTACACGTCGCTAAAGCGGCCGCGGCCCACGTGCCCGTACATCGGCGTGGGTAAACTAAGCGCCGCCATCTTCTCCGCTCCATCCCACGCGCATGCGCCAGAAGCGCGTATGCGCCCGCACTGGTGCGCAGGCCAGGGAGTGGGGCCGGGGCGTCGTGGGCGGTGCGCGGGCGTCGGGAGCGGAGTGTCTATCACGGGTTCTTAATTCAAAATATGGGCGTGGACGCTGTTGGTATTTCTTAGTAGGCCGTTATAAAATCTGCAGCTGTAGACACTCTCTTTCTTCTTTTGAACATTTAAATTTATTTCATTTTATAGACTAGCACCTGATAGTGGGCATCATGAATTATTTTTGACTAAGGTGAATGTTTCTACATTTTAATGTATTTGTGGAAATTTTCTTCTATGCCTAGTTTGCAAAGACTTGAAAAAATACATAATAATAAATTTTACTATGTTCTTTTTTTACATCAGCTGAACTTTAAGCTTTGAGATTAAGATTTTTTTCTCATTTATCTTTTTACTGTAGTTTATTACAAAAATCGCCTTCCTGATGTTGAGTCATAAATGCACTCTTTATAAACCTTACTCAAGAAGGATGATGCAGTTTTGATATACTGCTGAATTTGGTATGCTAATAATCCGGCTCTATTTTATATTAAGATTATGCTGTTCTCGTTGGATGAGGTAGGACACTATTTCTGGAACATTTGGTATTATAGAACTCACCCATAAAACTGGCTTGGTTTGGTGCATTTTTTAATGGAAGGATTTCTGACGTTTGGGGGTATCTTCTATAGGTTATTAGGCTATTCAAGAATTTGCATTCTTTTTGAGTCAATATCTGAAATTTGTTTCCCCATAAAACATTTTTACATCTAGTTTTTTAAATTTGAGAAATAAAAATACAGAAAAGTACTGAGATTACATTTTTTAAAACCCCGAGTACCCCACCCACAATTTACAATTATTAGCATTTTCTCATGTTTCTTTAAAGTGTTTTTTAAATCAAGAACTGAAATATTACAAATGAAGTGGATGTTCTTCCTGTCCTTGTGCTCAATTTCTTTTTCTAACCCTCACTCCAAGGTAACATTTCTCATGGATTTAGTGTGTATCCATCTAACCCATGTTTTTCTGCTTTTCCATTCATATATACATGAACAACATATGCTTTAAGTGTTTTAAATTTATATGACTGGTAATAGGTTGGACATACTGTTTTTTGAATTATTTTCACTCAATATTATATGAGATTTATGTTTTGATATATATGAAGTTAGTTTACTGCTTTTAACTGCCATGTAGCATATAAAATATTTTCTATCTAGGTTAGACAAATGTCTGTTGGTAAACATTTAGTTATTTGGAGGTTTGCACTATTATGAACATGGTAATTAACTTTCTTAAACATGGTTTCTTCTGATATTGTACAAAAGGTTCCCGGTATTCAACCTAGAGTGGATCAGCTGGGTTTTCATATTAATATATGCACATTTTCTTTTTTTATTTTATTTTAATTTTTATTTCTAAGGCTGGTCAAGTGGAGCAGTGGGAGTGGAGAAGGAACAAAGGAATCTGTAACTGATTGTGATCAATTAGTTGTGAACACCACTGCACTCGGACCAACCACACATTTTCAGTTTTACTAGGCATTGCCAAATTTCTCTTCAAAATAATTGTATTTATTTAAACTGCTGCCACCCCTTGGTGGCACATTTAACATTTAATTTAATATTGCTAGACTTACTTTTGTTTGTTTATTTTATTTTTTATTTAATTATTTTTCAGAGCTAGAATGTTGCTCTGTTGCCCAGGCTGGAATCCAGTGGCACGATCATAGCTCACCGTAACCTCGAACTCCTGGGCTCAAGTGATCCTCCCACCTCAGCCTCCCGAGTAGCTGGGACTACAGGCATGCAACACCCTTCCCACCTAATTAAAAAAAATTTTTTTTGTAGAGACAGGATCTCACTATGTTGCCCAGGCTGGTCGTGAACTCCTGGTCTCAAGAAAACCTCCCTCCTCAAACTACCAAAGTGCTAGGATTATAGGCATGAGTGATAGCACACAGCCTGTTTATTTTAAATTGAATTGGTCGGATTGCTAATTGAGGTTAGGCATGTGTTCATATGTTCATTACTTGAGTTTCCTTTTTTGTAAATTGTTTATTTTTCCTTTTAGATTTCATCAAAGTTGATACATGTCTAGTTTAATAGGCCAAGTAATTTTACATGACTTATTATGAGAAAGCAATCCATTCTAGCACCCCAACACCCAATTTCTCTCATCACATCCTCCAGAGGTGACCACTTCCAACTTTTAGCTGTTTCTTTTGGCCTTTATTTCCATATTTTTGTATAACAAGCTTATAATAGATTTTTTGACTTTAACGTTATCTGCGGAGTTCCCATGATAGAAAGTAAGAATTTGATTCTACCTCCAATAAACAAATGTAATTGCCAGTCCCTTTCTTCACAATATGATTATATCATGATTTTTTTACATTATTCTGTCTATATAAATGCTACTCAAAAGTGACCCATGTATTATACCAGTTACATTTGCTTTCTTGCACAACTTTTTCCTTTTTCTTGAAGTTAATAATGATCTAATGTATTAGTTTCCTAGGGCTGCCATAACAATTACCACAAACTGGGTGGCTTTAAACAATAAAAATTCATTCTCTCCTGGTCCTGGAAATTAAAAGTCTGAAACTGAGGGGTTGGCAGGACCATGCTCCGTTATGAAGGCTCTAGGGAAGAATCCTTCCTTGCCTCTTCCACCTTCTGGTGGTTGCCAGCACTCCTTGGCCGCCTTTGGCATATGGTAGCCCATCTCCCATCTCTGTCTTCATTTTCACATGACTGTCTTTCCTGTGTCTTTGTGTCTCCAAATCTCTCTCTCTTTATAAGGACACTAGCCATTGTATTTAGGGACCACCCTCATCTAGTAGGATCTCAACTTGATTCCATCTGCAAAGACCTTATTTGCAAATAAGGTCACATGCGCAGGTTTAGGGGTGATAGTGGTGGTAGGGGGTGGTTAGGACTTCAAAATATCTCTTTGGAAAATACAGTTCCACCCACAACATCTAGTAATCGCCACTTTTTCATTTGCTTAGTTTTCTGTATATCACAATTCAGCCTCCAAGTCTCTTCCAATTCTTACCACCTTCTCTCCCCAGTACATGTAAAGACATTGAGCATTCTGATTATTTCTGTCTGATCTACTTAGGCACTAACACATGTCTCTGGTGTTCATTGCTTGGTTTTGCCTATTATTTTCAGCTTTATCCTCAGGCTGGCCTTCCTTGTGGTATCCAGATAACTGTATCTTCACGTTCTCACAGTACCAAATTCAGTGGAAGAGTCTCATTCAGTTGTTTGCAACAACTCCTGTAGTTCACTCTTTCTTATTGGCCCAAACAGGTCACGTGCTCATGCTTGAATCCGTCCTTTGTCCAGAGAGATGAAATGATCTGTCCTTGTCAACAGTGAGACTGAGGCCTCATTCCAACTACACAGGCAGAATTGTACTCCCAAAGCAAAATTGTGGTGCTGGTGCGGCTGTCAGGCAATAAACACAAAATGTCTATTACATGGAAGTTTCTCCTGTAAGTTTGGTAATTATTTTCGTCCAATTTTTCTTGGTCTTCTGGGTGTATTTACAATATTTTCCACCAGGGCAGATACTTAAAAAATTTTTTTTGGTAGAAATATTGATTCAATCTATTTTTGTTTGTTTCTGGTTTTTCTGCTTAAAAATATCTTTCCTACTCTGTGTTCTTGAAACAAAAGTTTATTTTCTGGTCTCAAAGAATAGACTTTACTCTATTGATTGGATCTATCATATTAATTAGGTTTTTAGGTCTTCTAGAATCTTATTTTATATTTACTTGATCTTTATGGCCTGAATGAGGTGAATTAATTTTTTATAATAATTATAATAAAAAGTGTTTTATTATTAGAGTACTTCTGTCTACTTATTATATTTCCTGATAGTTTTTGGTTTTGAATTTTGATGCTATGCCAGTTGGAGCATTGGTATTCATAACTGATACATGTTGATTGAGGATTATGCCTACTATTAAGTGTTTGCCTTTGTCTTCCTTATTGCTTTCCATTGTAAATTCAATCTTGTCTGAAAATATGAACACGATCCTGCATTATTTTTGTTTCTTTTTGTTTCCTAATATGCTCTTGTCCTTCTTTCATTGCTAATCTGTCACACTTAAACTTTGAAACACGTACAAACACACACACACACATTTTTGTCAGTGTTGCCATTGGTCAGCATCATATCCTTCTCCAATAAAGATAAAAACTCTGGCATGCTTTCACTTCTCTCTTTTCCAGTGTCCCCCAATCTCACCTCCCATGTTGAGATCACCAGAGAATTTTGAAGATGCTTAGTTTTTAAAAACAGCTAACAGCAATTTTAATACCTATCTTAATAGTTCTTTGATCTACACTTTTATAGTATCCTATATTTTTTCTATGACTTATGTTTAGTTGGAATACATCCTCTACTAATTATTTCTGAGAGTAATATCCCAAATGTTTTTATTTTACTCCGCAACCTAAAAAAAAATAGTTTTTGTGTATAAAGAATTCTAGGTTGACAATCATTTTCCCTCAGAATTTTGAAGATATTTCTCCAGTGTCCTCCTAACATTCGGTGTTGCTGATGAGGTATAATGCCAATTTCATCTTATTCCTTTGTAGATAATTTACTTTTTGACGTGGTCAGTGTTTATTTTTGGTTTTCTGAAAGTCTCAAAGTAGTAGATGTATACGTATATGTATATGCATATGTGTGATGATTAATTTTATGTGTCAACTTAATCGGGCCATGTCACCCAGATATGTGGTCAAACATTAATCTGAATGTTTTTGTGAGGGTGTTTTTGGATGAGAGTAACATTTAAGTTAGTGGAGTTTAAAGCAGATTGCTCTCTATGATCCAGGTGGGCCTCATCCAATCAGTTGAAAGCCTGAACAGAACAAAAGACTGATCTTCCCTGGGGAAGAGGGAATTCTGCAGCACATGGTCTTTGGAATTGAATTAAAACATTGGTTCTTTC